GCGGGGAGCAGGCGGGGGCGCGTGCGAGACAGCCCAAGCAGGGGGAGGCAGCCCCAGCGCTAGCATTGCACCCCGCCGCGGGCCAGCGACCCCACTCACCAGTGAAATATCGAGGCAGAGCAAGTTCTGGAACGGGCAAGAGGAACAAGCAAACAAAACACAGGACCACAAAGCCATTGGGTTTGTCTTTGAGGCGTTTATTCCTGTGGGAGGTAAGGATCGGAGAAAGGACCCCGCAGTGCCGATGGTGAGAGAAGGAACAGAGCTGGCAAAGAAAGATTTCCCTCGCTGCACCCTCGCCCTGCGCATCCGGCGTGACAGCATCCCGAGGTCTGAGCGCCCGTTGATTTTCTGCACCGTTTCCAGGCCGCCTCGTGCCCTGTCCCTGCTGCTGGAGGTCTGTCTGGGACATCCCCGCGGCATCCACGTGTGTCCCACCTGAGACAGCCCCGCCAGCGAGCTCTGCTTTGCCCGCAGGAGCGCACCGGGGCAATCTGCCAGACGCAAACGCTGTCCCAAGGAGAAGGGCCTTGCAGATGGGAGAAGGTTTAGCTGAGGTTGCTCTTGCAGGTGGTCCCGCGGCTGGTTGCCCCCCGGCGAGGCAGCTCTCCCCGGGACTTTGTCCTGTTCTCCTCGAAACGCACCACCGCGGGCGCAGCCGCATCCCGGCACACCGCGCACTGGCATCGTCCATCAGCGCGGGGCAGCGGACGGACAGTTGGGGACCAGGCCTGTGGACCAGCCCCAGCAGCGCTGCGTCCACGTCACCACAGCCCGCGGGGGCTGAGGGGGTCAGCGATGAGGCGACGCTCATCCCGGCACTCATCCCTGGCACGCGAAGGAGAGGAGGAGTTCTCGTCCCGCACCTCACCGCCCTCACTGCGCGTTTACCACTCTCCCCGGCGCGCTGCCGTGCCCCAACCTCCCAAAAGACAGATATTCACTACGCCGACGTGTGACAGCCCACTGCGGGCACGTTGCGGGGGAACTCCACCTCCAGACTCGGCGCTCCGCGCTGCGGGAACACGGGCAGAGCTCGAGCAGGTTTGCAGTGAGCCGTACCGAGGTCTCGAGAGTCCCCAGCTGGCCCCGCACCCACCGCACGCGTGTGCCAGCGCAGCACGAGGAGCGCCGCGGCACGGCACGCGGAAATGCTGTTTGTACGCTGATGTGCACAGCTGGGTCAGACTGAGAAATTGCTCTGGACTGCTTTTCTCCATCACGTCCTGATGTGAGCAGCTGAAGTGCAGCTCACTGCATCCTTACCCAGCCCTCTGCTCCGCACCGTCCCCCGGGACCTGCGTTACCGCACCGACCGGTACCCGGTTTGGTCTTCCCCCCCCCCGACACCAATGTGGCAGGCCTGTAACTCCCGGGGGGGGGGAAAGGGGGGAGATGGATAATCCGAAACGCGGGCAGCGCCGCCGGTGTGCCGGCCCGACGCGTGGGGACAGGTCCCGCCGTAGAGACAGACACCCGCTGTTCAACACCGCGCGGTAAAAAGGCAGATCAGTGCTCGGCCGGGACGCAGATGTCGGCGCTTGAGCCCAGCTCTAATCCTCTGCGTGTATATGGCGGGCGGCACTAAGCGGACAAGAAGGGCATCGGGACGGATGACATAAGATCAGGAACGGAGCCCAGCACGCTCCTTCCTCCGACCCCCCTCGCACGAGAGCAGAGCCCAGCGGGTCCGGGGGGGGCTGACACGCTGCGAGAGACCCTGAGCATCGCCAGGATGCTAAATGGGGGTACCCCCGGTCCCTCCTGCGTGTCCTCCCCGCAGGATGGAAGCGCAGGGCAGCAGCGCCCCCCGGGGTGGGGGACAGCACGGGGCACTCGATATTTCACTGGTGTCCCACCGCGGGGCTGCTCACGCCGTGGGCACAGCACGGCCCCGCTGCAGCGGCGCAGGTCGGCGAACGAAGGCTGCTGTGCTCCGGCCGTGCTGGAGAACCCGTCCGGGATGTGGCAGAGCAGCTCCGCCGCCCCCACTCTGCGCACGGGAGGGATGCTTCAGGGCAGGGCCGCCCGCCAATCAGGTCTGGTAGGCACCAAAACCAAAGCTCTAACGAGAGCCCCGTTTGGAGCCGGCTGTGAGGGCAAAGCTCCCCTGAGACTGACACATCCTGGAGCCAGCGGAGATACCCCCCCAAACCCCTCGCCTCCCAGCTGATGCTCCCCCCAGCCCTCTACAGCAGCCGCCTCCCTGGTGGTTGGGCACGGGACGGGGTAAAAGACACCCTCATCTTCAGCACTAAAATCTACCGGTCTTTGCCGGGACCTGGACCGCACCGGCGCCTGCTCCCCCTCCGCCAGCCGACCCACTGGTTTGGAGTGCTCGTGCATCACGGAAAGGCGTTGCGGGTCGGCATGCCGCCAGAGCAAGCACAGGGCACACCTCGGGGGCAGCTCTCCTCTCCTCCCGCGCCCCCCCTCGGCCGGGCCGAGCTGCCCCGGGGACCCCGGACAGGACCAGACAGCGGAGAGCACAGTCAGAGGGCGAGGAGGAGCCTGCATGCCATGGGGACGAGTGGGGCCAGCACGCACCCAGAGAGAGAGGACAAAAACCAGCGAAGGAGAAGAAGAAAGAAATACAGAAGAGAGTACTTACAACAGAAAACAGAGAAATTTCACTTGTTCAGTAGTCCTGACGCACCAAAGCACGGACAGGGAGAGAGACAGACAGATGGAGAGAAGAAGAGCGTGTGAAAAGACCGGGATATTAACTCTCATCTGGAGAAGCACAGCGAGTTGCCCAGCTCCGTCTTTTTGGAAGGAAAACACAGATCAAAGATGCTCTGATTCTGCGTCTGCTATTTGCAGTGGTGGGGTGAGACTCAACCGCAAATCCCGCTGCCAGGGGGGGGGCGAGCACCCGCAGCAGCCCGTGCTGCTCCGAGGTGATGGGGGGGGGAACCTAAAGATCCCCCGCTGCTTCCCCTCCCCGCCAGCTCCTGCTCGCCGCGGTCCCACACGGGAGCGCCGACTCTAAAAAAAAGTCCCTGCCAACACTCCACAAAGTGTTTCTGAGAAAAACGTCCAACACAAAACCCAGCGGGCAAAACTCAGGTTACCTGCTCTCTCTGCGAAAACCCCCTCTGTAGTTCTCCCACCGGAGCCGCCGTTAGCAGAGCGACGGCTTGTTTCGGTTTTACTGCCAAATCAGCCACAAACTCCGCGCTCCTAAAATTTTCCCTTTTAAGCTGACTACCTGCTTGACCCTGCAATGGGTTCCAATTACCCGTGTTAAATGCAATCACAAATTACAGCGGAAGGACCCCAAACTGGCTGGGCAATTGTTCCCTCGTGCAATAGCCCCTCTGCTTCCCCTGCCCGTGGGGAGACGCTGCGGCGGGAGGTGAGATATGGGGGATCCCGGTCTGAGCAACGCAGGACTCGTTTCTCTTCTAATGTCTGGGAAAACTGCCCTTTCAGAAGACTCCAGTGTCTGAATTGGTGAAAATATTGACTTTCTAGCCAGCGATGGTGTGCGGGTTTCAAGGTCTCAGTGTTTTCGAGCTCACCAGGTGCGGGGATGAGGAGGAGCGAGACCCGGGCACTGCACCCAAGCTGCCAACAGGGTTAGTTCATACCATGAACGGCACATTCCGTATCAATTAGGAAGTTTGCTGAGGAGTTCTCTCTCCCCCGTGACGGCTGCCATCCTGAGAACTCCTCGCCCCGGTGCCGCAGCCCTGAGCCCGTCCCTTCCTCCCGAAGCCGCAGCGCTCGCAGGGTCCCACGTGGGCTGTCACTGCTGGGGGCGCACGGCTCCTACCGACGGAGTGGGCTGAGTATGATCCTTGTGTATTTTGTACTGGTATTAGGATCAATACTGGTTCTTTAGTATTATTAATGTTGATTATTTAGCCTTATTCTATTAAATCTGTTTATATCTCAGCCCTCGGGTTTCCTTGTTTTTCCCCGATTCCCCTTCCCGGGTGGGGAGGGGTCATGGGGTGAGAGAATAATTGTCTGAACAACAATAAAATGTCGTGGGTTCCTCAAACCATAACACGAGAAAATAGCAAGGTTTAGCCATCGAACCTGTTCCCAGAGGAGGACGGTAGCGCTGTCTGCATTCCCAGGAGGCACTACGAAACGTCACCATTGACATGGGGGTTTTAAATAGCACAGTTCAGGAACCAAATGTGCACTTAAATAGTTCAGCAAGGGACAACGAGCTCCCTACCGCCTGTGCAGATGCGATAAACGCAACAACCAACCTGCCTGCTTAACCCTTATTCCCTTCCCCTGCTATAAAAAATTCCGTGGCAGCTCACAAAATGTCCCGGCAGCGTCTGACTACCCAGACCTGCACCCACAAGCGCCAGAAGACCCCCAAACCCTGGCGGGTGCTCGGCAAGCCCCGCAGGCTCAAACCTCCGTTACCGCTTTGCTGCGACTCCTCGGCCCCATGAGCTGATTTCCAAGGGGGGATCCTGCGACGCGGGTCCTGATCCAGCCCTCCCCGCTCTGCCCGGCTCCCATCCCTCTCCTCCCCCCGGCTCCCGAGGGACCGGGGTGCCCGGGACAAGGGGCGGATAAAACCGGGGTGGCAGCAGAACGTGAGGTGCACGTCGGTACTGCTCGGCAGGCACGGGGGCAGGACCGCCATCACCATCACCATCACCATCCCCACCGCCGCTCTGCCCGCGCGCGTGTGCTATTAAAATCAATTGCTATTTTAGTTTGCTGTTGTTCCTGTAAGTTTGAATGATATGCAATGGGACCAACCTCGTTTGGACTATGGAGCCTGATGAGCTAATTGACTAGTTGCCTGTGTACCTGCATCTCCTCCACTGGGGATGCACAGACACATAGCTGCTTGTAATTCTGCCAGCTTCTTCAGTAAAATCAGTCACAGAACCAGGAGAAATCAGAGTTTCTATTCTTTTCTTGCTTGGTATTAATAATTAAACATAACATTCAACAGTGTGGTCAAGCCAGGTTGCAGCTCCACTGGCCCCTCCATTATGTAGACCTTGGTGTTACATGGAGTAAGGTTAATCATAAGATCATAGCAAAATCTCAAGGCCCTCTTCAAGGGATCTCAAAAGGCCATATATTCTTGTCTTCTACTCCATGTCAGAAACAAACTATACAAACTACATCATTCTTAGCAGATATTTGTCTGAAGACCTTAAGTTAAAGAGGCTCTGGAACCTCCCCACACTTACACCTTTGCCATGGGAGGCGGCGCGGCTGCCGGGGGGGAGCTCTGCAGGCGACAGCCCCCTGCCACAAAGGGGTTTACACTCTCGTCGTACTGCTCGGGGTCGAACCGGTAGGATGCTTGGGGCACCGGCGTCTCCTCTGTGCTTTCTTCTGCCTTCCTGCCCAGCGAAGGTGGTTTCTCTTTCCCGCTCTGGCCCCGGCTGGGCGAGCACTCCCGGCACAGGGCATCGGCCTTCGGCTCCACCAGCCCCGTGCCGGCGTCCCCTCCTGACATGATGCGCTCCCGGGCGGCTCTGCCCGCCT